CTATGTGGTGCTGGCAACAGTGGGTGCTATGTGGTGCTGGCAACAGTGAGGTGCTATGTGGTGCTGGCAACAGTGGGGTGCTATGTGGTGCTGGCAACAGTGGGGTGCTATGTGGTGCTGGCAACAGTGGGGTGCTATGTGGTGCGGGCAACAGTGGGGTGCTGTGTGGTGATGGCTGCAAATTTCTTTTCATTTATCAAATTAATATAGAGTTAAGTCCTTTGGTTTTGTCAACTCAATGAAAATCGTTGAGACAAAAAACAGAAAAATGTTCAGTGTTTTTCCCCAGGAGAGAAATAATTGAGTTTTTGTCGAGTTACCAAAAGATAGAAAAAAAAAACCTATTCATTGTTTGTTGGCTCTAACGACTAAATTACCCACACGATTTTCTTCAAATGACCCCGAATAACCTTAACAGCTCGTCTCAAAACAGACAAGACTCGACATCTATCGCGGATAAACAAAAAAGCAAAACAAAAACACTCACAAGAATACAATATCAACTAAAACTAATATTTATTATCCGTTTCAACTTTAATGGATGTCGAGTGTTCGTTTTAAGGGTCAACTTGGGTCATTTACGATAGAACGAGGTCAAGAGGAATCCATAAAACTTTCCCCCTGGAGACTGAATAAAAGAAAATATGATTACGGTCGAGAATTTCTGGCGAGTTGGGAGGTGTTGTTTTGGTGATGGTCGTGCGAAGGCTCCCGGGTGTGTCGTGTTGTGGGGTAGAGGTATTGAGTGAGTGATCTGGTTAAAACTTTTCCTGAATAGATTAATGGTTTTGTGGGTAACTTTGGTAATACTGTATACAACTCTATCTAGCTCTCTCTCTCTCTCTCTCTCTCTCTCTCTCTATTCTCTCTTAGGTCTCTCTTTCTCTCCTTCCTTCTTTATTTCTCCCGCTTAGGTCTGTCTCTCTCTCTCTCTCTCTCTCTCTCTCGGCCAGGTTTTAAACTTCACTCTCTCTGGGGTTCAACATAACACATATACACTACATAATTGAACTTCATCGCCTAGATAACAATAGTCTTAATTATTTTTCTTTCTTCTCGAATTATTGGTCATTTTATTTCTCCTTGTCTTCGCTTCATTTCCTTTAATGCTCAATCCTATTTTCGTTTTCCCATTTTCTTTCGAGTTTATTACCGTTTTCTTTTCATTTTCATCCCATTTTTTATAGCAGGGTAAACTAAAGTAAATGAGTGGCCAATGTTTACCTCTCACTGTTCAGATCTTGGGTAAATATTTAGAAAGTTCCATCCCCCCCACTCCACCCGCCCCCCACTCCTCCTTACCCCTGTCTCTGTCTCTGCCCCACCCCACCCCCCACCCCACTCCCCCTGTCTCTGTCCCACCCACCCCCCCCCACCCCACCTTCCTCCTTACCCCCTGTCTCTGTCCCCCGCCCCTCCCCCAAGTTACGTCGACTGGGTGTCAAGACAGATAAAATGTTGAGGAAAGTTTTTGAAAGTAGCAGACAGTTGAAACTACACGATGGAAAACTATAATGAGAAAGTTTATGAAAGTAACAAATGGTTGAAACTGGAGGAGAAAAAAATACAGGAAAAATAAACTTGAGACATAAACAAACACATGACAATAATCTCTATACCTCCCGTTAAAACAACAGAGAGGATTAATAAAAAAAATAAGATAAACAGATAAAAAAGTAAAAAAAATAGATTAAAAGAGAGAGATAGAGATAATAAAGAGGAAACAACAGAACAAAAATATAAGAAAGATGATTTATTGCCAAGGGAAAGTTTTGCCGTATTTTGGAACGAGGAAAATTATGGTCTTTTATCAAACTGATTCTCAGGTCGTGTGAGGTAAAACGGGGAGGAAGGGAGGCGACGATGGTGACGAGGAGGAAGGGAGGAGACGATGATGACGAAGAGGAAGGGAGGCGACGATGATGACGAGGAGGAAGGGAAGAGACGGTGATGACGAGGAGGAAGGGAAGAGACGATGATGACGAAGAGGAAGGGAGGAGACGATGATGACGAGGAGGAAGGGAAGAGACGATGATGACGAGGAGGAAGGGAAGAGACGATGATGACGAGGAGGAGGTGACGATGATGAAAATGACGATGAAGGAGAAGATGAGGACGAGGAGGAAGGAGGAGACGACTATGATGACGAAGAAGATGATGACAAGAACGATAAGGAAGAAGAAGAAGAGAGGTGATAAGGATGACGGAACAAACGATGACAAGAACAAAGAATATAGAAACAACAACAACAAAACACAATAAAAAGAGCCAAAAACAGTAAATATGGCAACAAAAGGAGTAAATATAACAAGAAAAAATAGGGGGAAAAAGTGGAGGAAAATATGTGGTTAAGGTGAACAACACAAGGGGGCGCCATTTGGAGCCTCGACAGGAGAGTGAAAGTGAATTTAGTACAGTCATTAACAAGAGGCTGAGTATACTAAGACGCCCCCAGCTGAGGCCAGAATGTAACCAACACCAAAATCTGGCCTCTTTTGGG